TTTTCTTTTTTTTTTTTTTTTACATGAGAGGAAACTTTTCTTTGTAAAAGCAATGGTGCAGCATTTTCCACAGCTGCTGGAAAAGCCAGTCATGGCCTCCTGTGACTTCTCTGTTGCTGTTCAGCTAAAGACATCTGCCCAAAATTTCTTCTGCAGTCTTGAAATCTCCAATGGGGCAAAATAAGGGTTACTCAGGGAGTGAAGCACTCATCCTGGATGGAATGAGTTGATGCTTTGATTTCTTGTAATGTTTGATACTGATTTTAGACACCAGAGGTCAGACACTGCTGCTGAGCAGCAAAGGAAATGGGAACAACTCGAGCAAATAATTGGAAATGAGCTTTCAAGAAATGAGCTTCCCTTTCAATGTGATCATATTTATGGGTTTTATCTAGCATTCCCCATCCCCCCTTTTCTGAAAGCTTACTTCAGAAAAAGATGCTGCTCCTTTTGGAATTCCTCCTGGTAGAAAAACAAGCCAAGAAGAAATGTCCAGTTTTTAAAAATACATTCTGGTTTTGTTACTTTTTCCATTTTACAGTTTCTAATAAGCTGCTCATCCTCTTCACCTGGAGACTTGATTTAATAAACCATTAAAAATTAAAGCAGCTCTTCCAATTCTTTTCCCTGCTGTGATCAAAATGCAGTTTGAAAAGCTTCTCAATTTGGAGCAAGAGGGAAGCGTGTGTGACAAATTCCCTCTCTGCTCATGTGCTGCAAGTGCAATATGAGAAAACTAAGGCTGAAACAAGGAATTTGCTGTCTGAACAAGCCTAAAACATGACACAGCACCTTGGCTGGGAACAGTGCCCCAGCCTTGAGCAGACCCTGGGAGGACACAGATCCCAGAGCCCCCATCCCAGGGAAGCTTCCTGCAGCTGGGAATTTGTTCTGGGTGTCTGTCAGAGGTGGCATCTGGGCTGCCTGTCACACAGGAGGATGCACTTTTCTCTCTTGTGTCTTTTTATTATTTTTATTTTTTTTAAAAAAAATGCATTCCTGTGCACAGCAAGCTGTTTGTGTGCCACAGAAGGCTTTGCAGCAGTGCCGTGCTTCCAGCTCTCTGGAATTCAGAGCCAGGCAAAAGCTGCAGCAGGAAAGAAGGGAAAATAGTACCAAATCCCTCTGCCAGCCCCACTCTGCAGGAACCCAGAGAGATTTTCTTCCTCTCCTTCCTCTCCCTGGACACCCAGCTTCCTGACCATTGGCACGAGAGGCACAGACAGCATCTGGCAAGCTTTACCTTTATTCTAAAATGATTAAGCAGAAATCCAGTCAGGTGCATGTTCAGTACTCCTTGGAGCAGAGCTCCATTTGGGCTTGTTCAGCTGATGAGGGTGACTGGGCTCTGTGATGAAAAATTGCCCTTGATGACCCCTTAATGCACTTTTTTTCTAGTGGTAAAGATCTTCAATTTTATCTTTTTGAGTAAGAAGGAAAATGCACAGAATAGTAAATGTTCCCCTTGGGAAACTGGCAGGATTTGATAGAAATGGTGCACTTAATATGAGGCCAGTTCAGAGTAAATTCACGTGTGGATGTGTTTTGGCTGGCACAGATCTACATTTTAGGTGGGATATCTACATGAGCAAACAGGCAGCAGTCAGGAATTGTGTTTATTTTGATTTTTCTAAGTGCAGCCAGCAATGGAATAGTCTTGTGTTGTGCAGAATTAAAACCTTATTACAGAACAAGGCTCAGATTTCTGATTTATTTGCGATCTCACTCTTAAGTGCACCACAGTCTGTGCATTTGCTTCCCTGCTGCTCAGTACTGTGAAGAAAAATGGTGATAATCTCTCTGCTTATGAAAAGGAGAATGAGAAAGTTCCTGGAGCTCCTCCCCATTATCTGGCACATCTAAATGCTGTTTCCCAGCCCTGTCGTATCAGGATAATTGCCTGCTCTGCTTTAGCATTTCACTTGCACTGTCAGGAATACAAAGTGTTCTCCTCCACATGAAAGCAGGATGCTATTTCTGTGTTTTTCAAAGCCTTGCTAGCTGGAGAATGAGGCCATCTTTGATCTTAAATTTGCCACATCTGCTCCCTGGAAGGCTGCAAAGTTGTTTAGAAGCAGTCCTCAGCTTCTCACAGTGCTCAGCCCAGGTTGTCCTCTGGGTTCTCACCATAGCTTTACCCCTGGTGACCATGGGGGGGAAAAAAGGGATCTATGGCATTGTGCAAATTCAGTTTGTCTTTCTGGGAGCTGTGGGAGTCAGTGTGATGAATAAAGGTCCAGGGAGAATTCAGTAAGACAGCTTGGGTCTCCTGGTACTGCTGGCTTATAATGACTGAAGCCATTGGCAACGAGGGAAAATACCTTGAGTTTGCTTGGCAAAACTCAGGATTTTCCTCTCCAGGATGAGGCAGGCACCACATTCCCCAGCCACAACTTCTTCAGATGCCCAAGGAACCCAGATGAGTAAGAAGTGCTTCAGTTAATGCTGAGAGAACTCATATGGGTTTGACCAATGGCTTTACCCTCTGGACAGAGGACAGTGGGGGTCTGTGGAGCACCAGGTGAGATTCTGCAGGATTCCTGCCAAGGGAATGTAAACACTTCCACACAAACAGTGGAATGACACAGCTTTCACAGGCACAACCCAGCAGTGCAGCAAAAAAGAGGATTAATAAACAAGTATTCAGAATAATGTTTGCAAGACTGCAAGAACTGCTGCCTGATTCCAACCCAGTGAGGTGGAGGTTGGGTTGAAAGTTTTACTGTCTGGCTTCCTGACTCTTACTGGCCCCTCTTTCTGCTGGTCTCACACCAGACATCAACACAGCAGTGACAAGGAATGTTTCCCACATAGCCCCAGTGACTGGAAAGTGCCAGATGAATTCTGAGTTAATCCCTCAACAATCACAGCCATGACCAATTACCATCAGAACCTGTCCCTATAGATCACACCCTAATTTAACAATAAATTGCATTAACCTCATCCATCTATTTGCAGTGATTTCCAGAAAACGTTGCTATCCATAAAGGAATCCTCCTGTGGGTTAGGTAATTACCCTGGAGAGCCAGCTTTCACTCCTCAGCAGCAGGAGCAAATAGCATTTCTAATGAGCTGGGTATAAATAACAAGTTGGATGCTGTCAAGCATCAATATTTACTCTGCATTGGATAGAGCTGCTAACTGAATTAGCCCCTTTGCAGCGAGGGGCTGGGTTTGCATGCAATTATCATGACGTTCTCACTTGATGCCTAATTAGCTCTCTCAGCACACTATAAATAGAAAATGCACATCCAGAGATGTTGCACTGAGTGGTGCCTGTCAGTTTTCTCACATCTTCCAGGACCACCTATGCAGATATAAAATTGAGGGTCTCCTCACATTATTTTTACACAAAAGAGGAGCAAATTTAGATGCCAGGCTGGCTGACTTCTCTTTATGGGCAAAGTTCTGTAGCAGCATAATATCTGCTTGCTGAATTGAGGTAAAACAGAGATTCAGAATTTATCTACAATTATCAGCTTGCTGGACAAGGGATTTTGTACCTCTACTGCACAATAACTATTTTCTGTGAAAGTAAAGAAAGCTGATCAAGCATTGCAATGGTGATAGCACTAGAAATTGTAGCATTTTGGTAGTTTTACTTGAAATCAGACAAAATTATCAGATTCCTCACAAAGCAGTAGTTCTGTAGAGAAAAAAGTCCAGAAAACTGTTTCATTTGGTCTTTAATGTAGCAATTCTCAATACAACATATCTATTTCAATATTTTGACATAAGTATTGACTACGTGCAGTGTTAAAATATATTTAAATTATTTATTTTCACAGGTTTTAAAATATATTTTCCATTATTTTGACACAAGGTGTGTTTTTCAGGAAGTTGTAAACCCATTTATTCTGATGTTAAATGTAGCCCTCGTTTTGTTGTAAGTGCAAGCTTATGTGTAATGTTACATTCCAGCATGCCAGGAAAAAAAACCCCTAGCAATTTTGCACATTAGTGAAAGAGTGTTTCCAAAGCTGGAGAGCATCACACAGTGTAATGTGTGTTTGAAAAACAGCATATGCTCATGAAATGAAAAGCCTTTCCCAAAATGCAAGGCTGCAAAGGGATGTAGTTAAGATTACGCAGCAAGATTTTAGCATTTCCGAGCTGAAGCTTTTTCCACGTGGTTCTAAGACAGGAGGTTTGGAGATTTTTAGCTTTTTCTCCTTGATAATTTTGATGGTTTATATAGATAGGTGCTGTAGTTAGAGAAATAGATACGCTGCAGTGCCAGAGAGAGGTGTGAGCTGCTGAGGGCAGGGCAGGGGACAGGATTCTGTGTGGGGAGATGTCTGCTCACACATCGTGGCACTTGCTGGCCTTGGGTCACATCAGGCAGTCTTCATTTTTACTCCACTTCATTAAATTCACAGCTCTACTCTGGATGTCCATTAAACTGTCCACATGTGTATTATTTATAACACTTCAGCATGGGTTGTGTGTTCAAAGCTGGCTTGAACATGTGTCGTTTGGCAATTTCTGTGACCACGGACAAGATATTTTCATGTGTGTGTGTTTGGATTCAAACTGAAAGGGGAAAATCAAATTGGATGTAGGGAAGAAGTTTTTTGCTAACACAGGTTTCTCAGTGGATGCCCCATCCTTGGAAGTGTCCAGGATGGATGGAGCTCTGAGCAACCTGGTCTAGTGGAAGGCGTCTCTGCCCATGGAAGGGGTTTGGAAGATATTTAAGTTCCCTTCCAGCCCAAATAATTTTTGTGTTCATTGTATGATTTTATGCAGGGGATACTTCACAAAAGTTTGATCATCAGTGGGAGGGATCCTCTGAAGAAGAGTTTTTCCCCTCTTAAGGATGGGGCCACAGCCCCCAGAGCTCCTCCCTGGCATGAGCTCCCTCACACAGAGCATCCATCTCAGTCCATGGGGGCACAGCCACCAAAGCAACACACTCCTCTTTTCCTCTTAACTCCTCTGTTACACTGGGATGATTGAACATCTGCCGTGGGCCACTCTAACACACTTTGCTTTTCCAGTTCCAGGTCCTCCTGCTGGAGTTAAAGCAGCTGCTGCCTCGGCCTCCACAGTTTTTGTGTCCTGGCTGCCTCCCCTGAAGCTGAACGGCATCATCCGGAAATACACGGTGTTCTGCTCACACCCCTACCCCACAGTAAGTGCCACAGCCCCTCTGGGTAGGGCTGACACTGAGCACTTGCAGGCACCAGCCCTTGATCTTCTCCCTGCTGCTTCCTCTCCCACCCTGAGCAAGGCCAAGGGGAGATCCTGGAGCTACAGAGAGAAGCGAGAGTGGAGTTTGGTTTATTCCACCCATCCATTTTTTTTGTTTCAAACCCGTTGCAGAGCATTAGGCCACAAATAATTTCAAAATAGACAGTTGGAGTATTTTTCCAAGGTTTGGTTAGTTTAGAATGTAACAAGTTACATTTTCCAGCACCAGCTGCAGGAGCCCTGTTGCAGCTGGAGGCATGTATTTATTTACCCTGTTTTCATCTAAGTTCCTGCCTTTTTGGCTTGGGTATTCATGTGTGAAAGAACATAATGACTTATAAACAAACATATTTGCTTGTGAATAGGCTTATTTATGCCTGGAGTATTTTCCCACTCTAGCTCTATGTGATTTTACTTGCTGAGAAAGTGACAGGAGGAAATTTGAATTGAGCATCAGGTTGTCTTTCTTCCTTTCTGAATCACAAAGAAATTTAACAATCTTTAATCACAAGGGCCAATTTACTCTCTCTAAATACCCCTACATATTTATTTTCATGTGGATTGAAAAGAATACTTATTTATTTTACATCTGAGGTTTGGATTTGGGTTTTATCCAAGGTTTGGATTTCAGTTTTAAGCAGGATTTCCCACCAAATGTGAAAAATGCAATCTTGGTTTAATAGGCAAGGAAAATATTGTTCCAGAAATTTCCAAAAATGCTTCAGGCATGTGGGAATTTCCCTTCCCCCAGGCAGGGAATTGGAACAAGGTGGTCTTTTAGATCCCTTACAGCCCAAACCATTGTGTGATTCTCTGATTTATGTTTTGGGATTACTGTCTCCTAAATCCATGAATTTCATAACTGTAGCAAGCCAAACCATCTTTAGCACACCTTTAAATGTAAACTAGCTGGAGATTTTCCATCCCAGTTCATAGTGTGATGTGCCATTTCTGTGGCACTCAGTGGGTTAAAGAGGTCAGAGTTTAGAGGACAGCTCTGAGTGGAGATCAGGCACCTCTCTGAGGGCTTGGAGAGAACACCAGATGGTGCTGCTGCCTTCTCCAGACACTTTCCATACACAAAGCTGCAGTGCTTCTTCCTGGGGCTTTGTTAGCAACAATTTTTCCTATATTTACATCCCCAAGAAAATAAACATCCTCAGCTAAAAACATTATTCTTTACCATGTGAGTCTCTCACATACAAAACTTCCTATTTTGTGGTCACCTTTTGGAGCACCTCAGAGATGGACAATATGACAAGAAAAGTTGCTTTTTTTTTCTTTTTTGCTGCTCTTGGCCTGAACAGAATTTCACTGCTGTATTTTTGTGGTGTTCATTATGCAGGGGTACGTATGAACCATCATGGAACCATACCTTAGCCTCAGGTAGAGGCACTTGGAGATGTTTGTGCTTTTTATTAATTGCTGATGTGTCCATGGAGAGTTCTGAAAGGTGTCCCTGCCCTCAGGACCACCAGGTCCAGCCTGAAGCATTCTGTGATTTCATGATCCTGCTGTTACCTTCATGCAGGTGTGTGTACATATAAAGATATATATGCACACACAGATATATGTATAAATATGTTCTAAGGAGCTGTGGCTTGCAGACATCTTCTGTATCAGCCCTGTGTGCTGAGTGAGGCAGGGATCACACTGGGGGGTTTTTTCCAAAAACCAAGCTGGACATTTTTAAACAAATGCAAGCCCTCAGGACATATTTAATATAGGACACACTCCCTCAGCTTAGTTTCTAACAAAATGCTTTGTTATCTTTTTTTCTGAAATGGATTGTGAGCTAAAAAGCTGTTTTATTCAGAGCTGCTTTGCAGTGAAACAATCCTGCTGCAGAGCTGCTCAAATGCCAACACTGCTGTGCAGATACACTTAATATATCCAGGGAAGTTCTTGTTTGATTCACTGCTGGCAGAGACAAGTATTTGACAGAGGGAGAAGTCTTAAATTAGGGTGAGGAGGAGAATAAATAAAAGACCTATGTCTTTATCATCTCTTCTGCCACCATAAGTAGCAAGTGCTGTAGCTGCAGGTATGGAGCCCTAAAAACTCCATCTATCAGTCACAGCCCTGGCTGCAAAATAACTTTGCCAAAAGTCTGCTGTTCAAGCAGAAAGGCAAACTCAGTTTTCAGGCATCCATCAGTGAGGAGAAAGAGAAAAGGACAGGGGTAAAGGTGAACTGATGGGGAGGCTGCATTCTTTTCAGATTGCATTTTATTGCTGAGAACAAAATACAATAGAGTTTAGACAGGTTAACAGTCTTTTACACAAGAACACTGCTTTGGTGTTTAAGTCACCAACAGGAAAAATAATTAACTCTGTTGGTTGTATTGTGCATATTTTTATCACAAACATAACACTTATACAACCCTGCCATATTATAAAATGAAGATTTCCTGCCTCTTGCACTGTTCAGTTTGCTTGTCAAAGGCAGAAGCTTTTAAAACTTCTGCTGCCTCTGTATAGAACAAAAGGCATTTCCTCTTTAAATATTTTAAGCCCCAAGGACAGTATTTGCCTGGGATGTTTCAAACCACAAATATGATTAATGTGTGAAAAATGGAAAAGATTCTCCACTGCAGTCTTTTCTCTGGCCAAGATAAAGGGCAAGCAAGGATCTAATTTCACACTGTTTAATTGTTGTGTCTGTAGCATTCTACAGGCATAATTAAGCAAAACTTTCCCTTTTTAATTCTGAAAATGTAGGAAAAAATACAGAAATATGAGACCTCACAGATCCTTCACTCTTCAAATATAAGAAACAGAATATGCCAGAATTTAAGTTAGAAAAACTGTCCTTTGTGCTAACTCATTGCTTCTACCTATTTCCTACCACATCTATGTCCAACTTTTTGTAGGATCTGGCTTCTCAAGACCACCTCTAATGGTCCCATGGTGGCCAGACTCCTTCTAAGAGTGTTTTCATTGTCCTTGTACTGGCAGGATGCTCATGGCACTCACCCTGCCCAGGTCTCAGGGGAGTGCTGGCACTGCTATCCCATCCTGGCAGGGGGATTTTCCTCCCTGATGCCACACACATGGAATTTCTGTGCTAGTTTGAATCCTAGCACGGAAATTGGGCTGCCTCAGTTCCTACTGAACTCAGGAGGCTGCTCCAGCACTTCCTGCCTTGGGCTGTAGATGTGCATTGCCAGGGGTTTTCAAAGTGCAACAGAAAAGGAAATTTTGGGGTTTTTTGAAGAGAAAAGAACAAAAAATAATAAAAATAATAAAAAAAAATCCTTATAAAAACAACCCTCCCAAAAAAACCCCACCAATCTCTTGTTGCATTCAGGTCACTAGAATGCTTAAGGAAGAATCAATGGGATTAGATTAAATAAAACTGAGATGTCAAAAAGTGTCTGGAGAAGGTTGCTGTGACACACAGGTTAGCCAAGCTGGGAAACTTTGATCTCAGAAGAGGTAAAAAGCTTCTCCTAAAGAGCAGCAGAGTGCTGAGGGCAGGAGAAGGAAGGTTAAGGATCAGAATTTCTTGATACAGGAAGGGATAAGAAAGTGCACAAGGAGAGGGAATTTTTGATATGGGAAATTCTGATCTGCTTGGGGAAAAAATTACCATGAGATCCTGGTCAAATATTGAAGCTGAGGCCCAGACTGTGGGATCTCCATGAATGGAAAGCTTCAAGACTTGATTTGACACGTCCCTGAGCAACTTGATGCAATTGAGCTTGCTTTAAAAAGGGAAGTTCCTCCAGAGGAACCTTCCAACCTTAATTCTATTATTATTATATGGCAGTTTAAAACTGGAAAATTTGGTTAAAATCTGTATACAACAAGGGAAACCAGACAGTGGTAAAGTTAATGTGCAGCTCTCTGAGGAAAAGAAACATATCAGAGTGACACCAAGATGTCTCAGAAGTTTAAAGTCTCCAATAAAACTCAGATGACATTATAGGCCAGTGACAGGATGGTTTGTCTTTCCCATCTGAACACATTCTGAGCACAGTCTCCCAAACAAGTTCTGCTTTTAGCTCTCACTATCAGGAAATCAGAGAGTGGGAGTGAGGTCATCTTATTTCACATCTTAAGTGAGTTCCACATGAGTGGAGGAAAGACAAGAACCAACTGACTGTGTCCTGAAAAGGAAAATCACTGAGAAAGGAGAATGGTCTCCATTTATTATTCTTTTATAGTGCACTTCTACTTACATGACTCCTTTCCATTAATCTCCAGGCTTTCCATGGAGAGGAAGCATAGAGTGATGCACAAATTAATGACCTGCTTTGCTGGAAACAGCAGGAAAATCCTGTTTAATGTGTTTGCTCCCTTTAGTGAGTGACCCACCAGCAGATTAGCAAAACCCAAACAGCAACAACAACCCTAATGACTACACTTTTCTAATCAACAAGTCAAAATAGACTTGAATAAATGTATTTCTGATTGGGTGATGTCATGCTATTCATTGACACCCAGATGATTTTACTGGTCTGTATTTTCTCAGCTCTTTACCTCCATTTCTAGCACACGTACCCAAAGATTGACAAATATGACAAGAAGCTTGCAAAACATACAAATTTATATTTTAAACCCAACATTTCTAATAAAAATAATCAGTTTATTCTCTGGTCTTTAATCCTGACAGTAGTTCTGAAATGTTGGTTGATGAAGTTGTTGCTTAGCTGTGGGATTCTGCTAAGAGACAATTTGTCCCTCAAACCCACCTTTGACTGAAGTCTCAAAAGACCAGAAGCCTGAGGACTGGAAGGAGGAGGAATTCCAGAACAGTTGAATCAGATAAATGGAGTGAGAATATTCCTGCAAAGATCCCAGATGATGCTGTCAGGATAAACTGGATTAGCTGGATGAGGAACCAGAGCACAAAGCAGACCTCAGTACTGAAAAAGGGCTGATGATTAGGAATTACCTCATAGTGCAAACCCTACAGTCAGCCCCAGGTATCTGTGGT